TACAACCTTACTTGTTGAAAGTAAGGAAGACCTGAAGCACATACTGATGAAGTTCACAGACTACAGCTTTCAGTATGGATTACACCTCAACATAAAGGAAACAAAAATCCTCACAATTGGACCAGTAAGCAACATCATGATAAATGGAGAAAAGATTGATGTTGCGAATTATTTCATTTTACCTGAATTCACAATCAATGCCCATGAAAACCACAGTCAAGAAATCAAACCATGTATTGCACTGGGCAAATCTGCTGCAAAAGACCTCTTTCAAGTGTTAAAGAGCAAAGATGTCACTTTGGAGGCTGTATATCTAACCCAAGCCACAGTATCTTCAATCACCTCATATGCATGTGAAAGCTGGACACTGAATAAGGAAGACCACAGAAGAATTGATGCATTTGAATTGTGGTGTTGGCAAAGTATATTGAATGTACCATTGACTGCTAGAAGAATAAACAAATCTGTCTTGCAAGAAGTACAGATGGAATGCTCCTTAGAAGGGAGATTGGCTAGACTTCATCTCTCATACTTTGATCATGGTCTCAGAAGAGACCAATCCCTGGAGAATGATATCATCATGCTTGGTTAAATAGAGGAACAGTGGAAAAGGGGAAGCCTTTCAGTGAGATGGATTGATGTAGTGGCTGCGACGATGGGCTTAATCATGACAGTGATTGTGAGGCTAGCGCAGGACCGGGCAGTGTTTCATTCTATTGTACACAGGGTCACTATGAGTTGGAACTGACCCAGTGGCACCTAATAACAACAACAACATGGAATACACTGTTTCCCAAAATAATATGAATAACATTGGAAGAAAAAGAGATGATTTGGGATAGAACAAGGAAAAGCATTTTAATAGTTACACATTTATTTTTAAAAGTTCCTTCTTTTAAATAAATTCAGTTAATACTAATGAATCAATTTAAAGGAATATTTTGAGTAAATAAGAGTTTAGTGGTACATTGTATTACTGAATGACAAGAAGGTCCCAGCTGAGACTGGCTGACTAAATTTGCAACAAATTCAGTCATACTTTTGTGCATGTCTTGCCTTACAGAAATGCATAATAGCAATAATAGAAGCAATCTATAATTGTACAACTCTTTCTTCCAACATCTTGATGTGTACGAGAAACAGAGCAATAATCTCCCACTCCCTTTCCTTTTAACAATTTTACCTCTCAGAGACAATCATCAGCGAAAGTCTCAATGTTGTGTGTGTATGTACTTACATATATATTGTGTACAAATTAAACCCAACCAGTAAGTCTTACAATGGTTGGAAGTATATAGATTTAATCTATCTACTGAAGGGATCGATACTACACAAAGCCTTTCTGTATGTGACAGCTCAAATACAGGATCAAAAAGACTATAGTAATGATTGCCTAGAATTTGACTGAAGGACAAAAGGAAAAGAGTGGATAGGCTATCAGAAAGAGAGTCACTAAAGTAGCTCTTGGAACACACACACACACACACACACACAAGGGCATTTAGAAACAATCAGCCCTAGGACATGATAGCCCTCGAGACCAGAAGAACTAGATGGTGCCCGGCTACCAATGCCAACTACTCAGGAAAGGATCAAATCTGGAGATCCTGGATAGAGTGGGAGGGAAAACGTGGAACAAAATCCAAAAACTCAATAATGACCAGAATTACTGGTCAGATGAAATCTGGTGAGACTCCCAATACTAGGGCCCTGGAATACATTCTGCGCCTGGAATAAAATTCACCCCCAGGGGCAGGCTCTCATGCCAATAGTTAACAAGATGTACATGCAGGCCACTCAACCCAGGATGCCACACCCACACACTCAATGGTAATACATCTCTTAGAGCAATAGACCATGGAACACCAGAGGACCAAAATTCAAACTGAGGAAATGCAGGACAAACAGGAGTGCATAAATATGAGGGGCACAGGGGGAGGGTTGCAGGATAGGGAGGGGAGGAGACTGGGTTAGGGTTGAACACAGCAAATGGGTAATGAAACTAAATGTACGCATTACATTGAATGTAAAACAAGCTCTTAAAATAAAAAATATATAATTAAAAAATATAAACTAAAGTAGTTCTTGAGCCCATATGGGGTAGCATTTTTCAATATTCTTTCAAAAATATGTCAACCAAACTCATAGCAACTCCTCCTTGGATTTCCAAGGTGGTATCTCTATGGAAATAGATTGCCCAATCTTCCTTCTGAGGAGTGGTTGGTGGGTTTAAACTGCCAGGCTTCTGGTTAGCAGTCAAGTGCCTTAGGCACTACGCCACCAGAGCTCCCTTTTTCATATTCACTCACTAATCATCATAATATTAAAAAAACTTTCAAACCTAATTAGATATATGATCAAAAGAAATTGATATTTTGTTCACGAAGAAATAGATGATTAATCATTATATGGAAAACGCACTTGTCAACAATTATTTTAAAAGTACAAATTATTATGACTGAAAAAAACATGTAAAAATCAATTAAAATCATAAAATGCAAAGGGTGAATGGTTCAGCTAAACAGTAAGAATAAAAATTGTAGACTACTTAGATGTCCAACCATTTGAAAATACTATGGGTTATATCTGACTTCCGTAGCTGCCCATGAATGTTACAGAGGAGGGGGAGGTGAGTATACTACATAGAGCATGATCTGCATTTTCAAAGAGAAAAGAAACAAAAAAACAACGGTGTGGGTGTGGGTGTGTAAGACTGAGAAAGACAGAAAGGAGGTCCTCTGGCCCCTTCATTCTGTTTGTTTCCCTCCATTCTCTCATTAGTGGAGTGTGGATATTTTAGCAACACCACATTAAAAACTGGACATAGGAAAATGGATCAATTCTGTCCAGGAAAAGTTTTGGCCTGTCTTGCATATGCTCCAACGTGATGATTAAGAAGATTCAAGGTAGATAAAGAAGACCCAAGATGGGGTGAATGCAAGATGGACAGAGGATACAGATTCAAAGGAGAATGAGACTGCTAGGAGCTAAATTAGGCACAGATGACCACAATGGAAAAAGAAAGAAATGTCCAGATCCCAAGTCTCTGATTGCTTTCTGTAGTAGCAATCCCTTCAGTAGATAGATTAAATCTATATACTTCCAACCATTGTAGGATTTACTGGTTGGGTTTATTTTGTATACAATAAATGTGTAAGTATATACACACACAAGGTTGAGACTTTTGCTGCTGATTATCTCAGAGAGGTAAAATTGTTAAAAGGAAAGGGAGTGCGAGATTATTACCTTATTTTTCATATACATCAAGATGCTGTACGATTATAGATTGCTTCTATTATTGCTATTATGCATTTCTGTAGTGTACAAGTTTTCTGTAAGAACATGCACTTCTTTTGTAATCAGAAAAAAAAAAAAAAAGATTTATCCTGGGTTCCCCAGAAAGCAGTATCTAATGCAAGTACTTCTTTACAGTACTTTAGCATTTTACCAACAAATGCAATCTGGGGAAGGCAGGGTGGTTAAAAAAAAAAAAGGAAGTGAGGCAGGGAAGACAGGAGCAGTAACATGAGGTGTGTTTTGAAGCTGGCCACCAGTAAATGCAATTGATGGCTTAATCTCCCAGGCCACCCTCCAGGAAGTTATATAATCTGAGTATCTCAGGACACTCCACCCAGATAACAAAGGGAGTGTCTGTTGGTGCAAGAGGTTGGTCTGTAGCTGTGGCTGGACCAAAGGGCCTGGAGACAAGTTAGTGCAAGATGATCTGAAGCAGTTCATTTAGTGTATCATATTCACCAACTAAAATATCACTAGAGATGATGACTCAGTCTTCACATGGCCCCATATATCACACCAAGAAAATTATCCTGAAGTAGTTTGAAACATCCCACAGTGGCTTACACATTAAAATCAACTTTCTATTGCAAAAACTTGATACAGCAAACTAAATAGCAAGGAATCTAGGTGGACGGATGCACAGCATTTCCAAAATGCCTGATCCTGGTGGAAACAGATACCTGAAGACCTGGAGATGCACTGGAAGAATACAACTAAGAAGGAAAATGAACTGAGCGAAGTAAATATGAATGGAGTCAAAGCCCAAAACCTGCACTCAAGGATCTCTCAGGAATATTCTATAGAGAATAAAACCCAAAGCAAACCTGTTGCCACGGAGTTGTTCCAGCTCCTGGCAGCCCCGTGCTGCAGTGGAGAACTGCAGTCCTGGGAGGTTTCAGGGCCGTGATCCTTTGGAAACAGATCACTAGACCCTTCTCTTCAGGGGCCTCTCGGTGCATTATAACCCTCCACCTCCATGGTTGCACTCTATGGTGAGCACTTAACCATTTGCACCACCCAGAGACTCCTAAAAATACATACAGGCTTGTATATATGAGTTTCTAAAATTTGTATTAATGAGGCTGAGGGAGTGATTTCAAGGAAATAGGATCCTTAAAATCTTTATATCTTTATCCTGAAAGAATGGCAACATGTAAAGGGAAACATGTTTATCTGTCAGAAGAATATGATGACCAAGAAGAATACAGGCCTTTGTACACATTGTTTAAAGGCAAAGGAAGGAAACATACTAAACTTCAGTTTCTTTAGAGTCATCAGCTCTACATTTATTTATTTATTTTATTCTGGATAATACCGAATAAATTGAGCACAGAATGATGAATAATAGGTAGATGAGACATTTTCTACAGTCATACAATATCCTTTCAAAGGGATTTATTTTACTTTTAAGAAAATATTTAAACATTAATATTCCTTAAGAAACATTCTGTTCAGCATATATTCTGCACAATGAAGAAATTCAATTAGTGACTTATTCTAAATGATCTAAATGCAGAAAATGATCGAAAAGTTTTATAATTAATGTGTGACAAATATTTTGTTTCAATGCATTAAAGAGTTACGTAGAAGACTAAGTATAAAGAATACAATAACGAAGACAGTGCAATCTATAAACTACAAATATGCTTTAATTTCAGGTAGAATAGCAGTGAAAACTACTACAGAAACCATGGTCTGTATAATCACATAACTGAGGCATATTCTTGAAGATCAAGGGCTTGGTTATAGTCAGCCATAGCTTTCTCAATCAAACCTATTTTACCACGAACTTCTGCTCTAAGACTATATGCGAAAGCATCATTAGGCTTCAAAGTCAGAGCTGCAAAAGAAGAAAGTAAATGTCAAGGTATGTTTTATGCTAGCACTCAAAAATACTCTCAGTTTTTTAAAATAAAAAGTATGTAATATAAAAACTTTTGTTGTTGTTGTTGCTAAGTGCTGTCGAGTCATTTCCGACTCATAGCGACCCCATGCACAGCAGAACGAAACACTGCCTGATTCCGTACCAGCCCCACAATCCCTGCTATACTTGAGCCCATCATGACAGTCACCATGTCAATCCATCTCATTGAAGGCCTCCCCCTCTTTCGTCGACCTTCCACCCTACCAAGCATGACATCCTTCTCCAGGGAATGGTCCCTTCTTACAACATGACCAAAATAGGTGAGACGAAGTAACATTACTTATTTGGAAAAAATTTTTCTTCCAATATAACTAATTATTTAGTTAAGTTCAGAATACTCAAACTTTCTAATAAAAGTAACTTGGAGAAACACAGAATGATATCTCTTTGAAATGCTAATATTGTGTATGCATGGTTTCCTAATAATTCTGTATATTTCAGCTTACCAAAACTTTAAATTAAGATACTACACAAAGATACTACACACAATCTACATTGATTACACTAAAAACAAATCTAAAAAACAATTGTTACATAAAAAAACACAACAACCAATGTAATTTTAGCAAGAAATTACAAAATAATATACCTTTACAAAGATCTGCCTCAGCTACTTCATATTGCTTCAAACAGTAGTAGAAGTTTGCTCTGTTAAAATACACTGCAGCCCAAAAGGGACAGTTATCAATTACATTTGCAAAATCTTCTTTTGCTTCTTCATATTTCTTTAATATTGTGTTTGTCACAGCTCTATTCATGAGAGCACACTCATCTTTTGGATCAAACTGTAAAGCCTTTGAAAAGTAGTCATTGGCCTATAAAATATGAAGATAATAATAATTTGGATATATTTTAATTGGTGGTTATAAAGAAATTTAAAACACTTTTACTCTTTACTTAAAATTAAAGCCAGTTGTGTACCAACAAGGGCAGTGAAAGCCGTCCAATGCAGACAATAAGAAGGAGCATTGCCTGCAGAGAAAGCCAACAAAAGTTTGTTTACTTTTTATTATTATCAGTAACTCTAAACAATAGCAGTAAAATGTTCCTCTCTGTAAGGGTAAAATGCTCCCTCTGCCCTTCCTTCCATGCTCCTGCACACCACTATTTGCTATTTTTGGTGCCCTTGAGTTGGTACAAACTCATAGCAACCCTGTGTACAACAGAATGAAATACCACCCAGTCCTGCACCTTCCTCACAATCCTTGCTGTGTTTGAGCCCATTGTTGCAGCCACTGTATCCATCCATCTTGTTAAGGGTCTTCCTTCTTTTTGCTGACCTTCTACTTTATCAAGATGTCCTTCTTCAGGGACTGGTCCCTCCTGATAACACTGCAAACTACATGAGACAAAGTCTTGCCATCCTTGCTTCTAAGATGCATTCTGGCTGTACTTCTTCCAAGACAGATTTTCATTCCTCTAGCAGTCCATGATACATTCAATATTGTTTGCCAACTCCATAATTCAAAGGCACCAATTCTCCTTCAGTCTTCCTTATTCGTTATCCACCTTTTGCATGCGTATTAGACAATTGAAAATGCTACGGCTTGGGTCAGGCATACCTTAGTCCTCAAGGTGACATTTTTGCTTTTTAATACTTCAAAGAGGTCTTTCACAGATTTTTCCAATACAATCCATTGTTTGATTTCTTGACTGCTGCTTCCATGGGCATTGATTGTGGATCCAATAAAATAAAATCCTTGACAACTTCAATCTTTTCTGTGTTTATCACAATTTTGCTTATTGGTCCAGTTGTGAGGATTTTTGTTTTCTTTATGTTGAGGTGTAATCCATACTGAAAGCATGATCTTCATCCGTAAGTGTTTCAAGTCCTCTTGTTTTTCATCAAGTAAAGTTGTGTCACTTGTATATCACAGATTGTTAATGAGTGAGTCTTCCTTAAATCCTGATGTCACGCTCTTCTTCATATAGTCCAGTTTCTCAGAGTATTTGTTCAGAGCTCTGGTAGTGTAGTGCCTAAGGCACTTGACTGCTAACCAGAAGGCTGGCAGTTCAAACCCACTAGCCACTCCTCAGAAGGAAGATGGGGCAATCTACTTCTGTAGTGATACTGCCTTGGAAACCCAAGGTGGGGTTGCTATGAGTCGCGTCTGACTTGACGGCACATAACAACAACAACAACATACAAATTGAATAAGTATAGTGAAAGACACAACCTTGATGGACAGCTTTCTTGTTTTTAAATCACGCAGTATCCCCTTGTTCTGTTCATACGACTGCCTCTTGGTCTATGTGCAGGTTCTACTAGAGCACGATGAAGTGTTCTGGAATTTCCATTTCTCATAATGTCCTCCATAATGTGTTATGATCCACAAAGTTTAATGCCTTCATATAGTCAATAAAACATAGGTAAACATCTTCCTTATATTCTCTGCTTTCAGCCAAATCCAGTTGACGTAATGATATCCTGTGTTCCACATCCTCTTCTGAATCTGGCTTGCACTTCTGACAGTTTCCTGTCAATGGACTACTACAATTATTTTTTAATTATCTTCATCAAAATTTCATTTGAGTGTGAAATTAATGATAGTTTTGATAGAAGGTAAAATGTAAATTAGGAAAGAAGGCCACAACAAGAAGATCACTGTCTTGGAGTCAGATATGACTCATAGCGAATGCTCCTTGGGTTTTTGAGGCAGTATCACTACGGAAGTAGATTGCCCAACTTTCCTTCCAAGGAGTGGTTGCTGGGTTTGAACCGCCAACCTTCTGGTTAGCAACAAGAAGATGAAGTACAAATGAGAAAATCATATTTGCATATAAAACCAGAGTACCTAAGAGCTAAAAAGATAAAGTAATTTTCCAAATAAAGTTCTAACCCGTACCAAAGGAGATAAAAAGTCAGTTACACTATGGAAAGTTATAAGGAAAGAAGGAAAGGAGGAGAGGACAAAATAAGCTCATTGAGAAGATTATTCCAATTGATCATCAAGCTGAAAGGGCCCCTCACTGTGTGGTATACAGCCCAGTGGTAAAGGTGTTGGTCTCAGTACAGAAATTGAGAATAAATGAATAGTAACTTCTATAGCATTTGGCATTGCTATGACATTCAAACATATGATCATTTTTCTAGTAACTCACTTTCATTTTATTTTAGTAATGTATTGATCTACAATAAGTTGGAAATTTTAAAAAACTGACATTTCACCACAAGTAATTCAAGATGCTGAACAGACATCCTACTACCCAAAGCAGGACTCTTTCTATCCCTGATGGATAAAAATCTGGCTTCTATTTTAAAACTTGCCCTAAAAAGAAAAGTCACTTTTAAAACACAGCTTGCTTCCTCCAATTCCTTACCACTCAATTTTTTCCAGACTTACTACTCAAGACAGGGCCAAGCCTTTCTTCAGAAAGTAATCTACCTCCCTCTGTTCCATGCATTCTGCTCTTGCTGCCATTGCAACTGTACTCAAGACTAATGGATTTCCAGTTCTTTTCTTCTAGGATCTCTCTGTAGCATGGGCACCCTTGATCTATTTTACCTTCTTAAAACTCTTTCTGCCCTTGAGACAGAGTGTATTTCTCCTACCTCCCAGACTATCTTCTCTCAATCTCCTTTACTGAACTATTTCTCTTGCTACCTGTACAATAATGCTCAAGGATCTGTCCTCCATTTACTTCCATCATACTTGATACAAAATACTGATAGTATGGTGATGAGGAGCTTAGTCCCTGGAGTCAGATTGCTGGATCCAAATCCTAGCTGTACCACTTATTGACTCTATGTCCTTGGATGAGTTATTAAAGCTCTGTCTTAATTTCTTCATCTGTGAAGCAGAGGTAATAAACAGAACCACACTCCCAGGGTTACTATAGGATTAAGTGAGCTAATGCATGCAAAGTACTGGGAACAATATGCAGAACACAGTAGAGGTTAAAGTAATGAGAACAATAGTCATCGTTGTTCTCCAGTGTCTAGAAGTGAAGACACAATACTCCATAAATCTTGCTACCTCTCTGGCTTTCAAGAGGCAATGAGTTTAAGATTGTGCTTCCCCTCTCATCCTTGGATGACAGCTATTCTATGTTAAGAATAGAAAAGTGCCATTTAAGGGTCCCTTGAGTGAAGGAAAAGTTGACATTAAGAAAAATTCACTCCTGAACAGAATGATGGACTCATGGCTATTAGAAATGAGGCAAAGGAGTGACTCAAGGCAGCATCAAGACTTTTTTCAGAAAGTCATTTAGGCTTCATTTCAATTCTTCAGTAATTGATTATTAAAAGCCATCTAATTCCACATCACAAAAAACATGACTTCAATCATATATGAGCAAATGACTCTCAGCTAAGAGAAAAGAACTCATTAAAACACCAAGAGTGTGCCTAACTTTCAACAAAGTAATTTTTGTTATGGCTTCCAAAATATATTAGTTAGAAAATGAAAACCTATAAATTGAATGATGTTACCTGAAGTACAGAAGTACTAACAAGAGACCAATTATAGGCCAAAGACACCTACTACAAGAGATGTCCATGACTTTTTAATAATTTGTCTAATGTCCTATTTCTGTAATTAGAAAGCAGACCCAGTTATTTTAAGTTCACCTCAAGTTCATGATAATAAACTAAGTGATCCAGTTTACTATCAAATGTACATTGATTCTTTTCTCTTATGGTTGGAAGCATGAAGCTCATCTAAATGTGGTTTCAAATCATTAAGTCATAAATTAAAGATAAAAGAAGGTAGAACATGTATCATTGTTTCAACCCTTTAGAAATTATTACTTGATCTGTTGAGGGACCTTCCTCAATATATTTTAAAAAAAATTAAGAGACAATATTGACAGGACTTAATGACCAATTATACGAAGGAGGTAAGAAAGAAAGACTTATGATTTACGGCCTTGGAAACCCAATGGGAGGTCACTATGAGTCAGAACCAACTTAACGGCATTGAGTTTGGTTTTTTGTTTTTGTTTCTTTTTTTGAGAACATGGCAAGTACATTACAAATATGTAATTGTAATATGTGGAGCTTGAATGAAGATCTAAGTAGAATCAGTAAGTGTTTGCTAAATGCTCCCAGCAAAAGAAACACTAGAGCCAGAGCATCTTAGTATACAAATGTGCCCTAAAGATCATATCATTAAGGGTTATGGTGACAGTATTGCATGGCAGAGGGTAATACAGAAGTGACAAGTCACAGAAAATATCAGAAAAAAAATTTAAAAAATGATTACATCAACTTAGAAGGCAAAGGCTGTGAAAAAAATTTCTGAGAAATACAGAACTGAAGGTAGGGGTTTTCCAAACTTGGCTACGTTAATGAGATCATATTTTAAAGCCCTTTGCTATACCATCAGAGAAGCCAGACTTGGAAAATTACCACAGCCTATCACCCTATTTCCCATAAGAATTGGGGCTACTAGTACAAAAACAAAATTTATCTAATTGAAATTTGAGTGACAAAAAAGCAAGATGCCTGTCTTCATTGTAAAAACAAGAATGAAAAATAACAGTTTAACTTTTAGAAAGATAATAAAAACTCACCAGAAAAAGGTATTGCTACAACATAGACAAAAATTATAACATTTCAAAATGAACTAGAAAAAAAAGGTTAAGGAAGTAATTGCAGTTAAGAAAAGGTAAATTAGAAGTAAAGGATCTCAGAAGACAGGTTTCCAGGAAGATATGACAAGAAATAGAACTAGAGAGAAAAATATATATAATAAACCAAAATATAAGGTCCACATAGGTAACATATCTCAGAAAGCACAGCAAAGATTTAGAAGAGAGATGTGAGAAAAGAAAATGAGACAGAAATTAAGAGATAAAAAGCATTTGAGAGAAA